ATTAACTGCCAATAAAAGGGGAGAGGAAGTCATAAGAATATCACAGAGTAAATGGAGGGATAATGTAACGAAAATCCTCCATACCCCCCTCCCCCCTCCCCCCCTTTCGAATCCTTTGCCAAGCATGACGAAATGTTTAACTTTATTTTTGAGAGAGTTTAAAATGCGGGGAAATGCATTGAAATGCGGAAATATGAAACCTTTGTGAGGGGCGGTAACTTTAGAACCTTTGGATGTGCATTTTTTTTGAGTGCGGGACAACTCGTAGTTTGAGCCACGCGCGGATAAACTTGCTGTTTGTACCAAATAGTACAAGGTGTTCAATTGCTGCCACGGCAGGGAAATACGGTGTAACTTGGCGTTAGCCCAAGGAAAACTGTATCCATTGACAAGAACGAGGTACGATCATTGACTCCAGTTGGTTTTCTGGTTCGACCCCTGAGGAGGAAGGAAGCTATGTTTTAATAAACTGTTTAATTGCTTTCCCAGAAATGGCTGAAATGAACTGGTTCGGAAGCAAAACAACGCTTTGTTTGGATTGAAAATTTAAAAAAAAAATAGAGTTCACGCCACAGCATTAACGAAAGCTGTTTGTCTTTTTCGCAGGGTATGAAATGGAGAAAAGACTGGCCTTGCAAGGACAAAAGCACTATCCTGGTGTTATTCAACCGGTTTATAGCAGGTATGGAAAACAGGGTTATTTCAGATTTTGCGCAAATTTAGCTGTAATGACGATGATGTTTAGGACTGGGTCAAGTGGTTGTGAAATTCAAGATTATGCCATGAGTATGCTAGTCCTATGATGATGATGAATATATAGGTGTCTTTTTCAGAAACAACCAGCCCTTCGTTCCAAAACCGGTTTATCCTGTTGGATCAGTTCCTCTACTAACTCAGACAACCGGTCCTAACTGCACTCATCATCATCCTTGTCCCCAGCTCCCCCTTTCGTCTGGCTTTCATCTCCCACCGGCTTCCTTTATACGTGCTGGTGTTCCTGTACCCACTGTTCGGGGGAATGTGCAGTCGTCGCAATGTACTACTTCAACAGCCTCACCAACTTGTCCACAGGGTAGCCAGCACGGGAACCAGGAGGCCAGTACGTCTAAAGACGATGTCGTTATGATCGACCTTGACGATTTGCCTTCGCCGACGCACCCTGAGCGAGAATCGATCAGTCACCTGCGAGCACAGGCACACCAATCGCAGTCAAACGCGGATTTAGTCAGGATGGCCCAACATGCATTTCCTTGTGTTTCCCCTGCGTTTATTAACGTGCTGTTAAATCAAGGAAATTCTCAAGAAGCTCAGGAATCAGACGCTCAAGGTTCCCACAAAACTATCACTCACGGTTCCAAGTCCCCAAATGAGCATCGTTCCCAGTCTTCTACCGCTCAATCCAAAGCAGATTCCGAAGCCTTAGACGTCGACATTAACTCGTCTGAGACCAATGTTGTGGACAGCACACAGGCAAAAAACGGAGATGCTGCTGTAAATAATGTCAAATTGAAAAAGGTCGTTGCGAAGACTCCTAATCAGGAACAGATCGACTTACAATTGTCCTCTCCGCCAATAATAGTAGAGGTATCATTGGAGTCTGATCAACTTGATCAGTCGAGCCAACAAGAGAAGACGGGTGTGTCATTATCACCCACCCGACCCCTAGTGGTAGACGTCTCAGTAGCTTCAGATGAGCTCGAAATTTCAGCTTCACAAGGGGCAGATGCAGCCTCTTCTTAATCACCCCTCCCCTGGTACAAGAAAAAATAGGCATTTATCTTACTTGGAGGAAACCAGCAGAGACTTGACAACCTTTGGGAATGGGTGGGATAACAGTTCGGTGGAAGATTCCATTGACTGAAATACTTCTAGTGATACATGGGTTGCATACCGTGAGGCAGTCCTTATTGAAATAAGAAATCAGGGTTTTGGCAGTATTTTGGTTTTCACCGAACTTTAAATCGTGCTTAACGTGATAGTGCATAGGGCATGTGGCAATCCGAGGCGGACACGTGACTTTCTTTAACTATGGGATTGGTTCGAGTATCAGCCAATCCGAGGAAGTGTTCGGCATTGGTGTGCTGAAGCTTCGTATCATTTGAATCGATCGACTTCTTGGAGGTTGTGATCAAATTGTAGAAAGAAGGAGCAAGAAGGAAATTTTCAGAATTATCATTAGTTTTAATAGCATCACTATCATTATTAGTTGAAGTATTATTTTTATCATTAACATTGATTCCACAATTTACTTTACTACAACAATTTACTTTGGTTTTTCCGCACTCATCTTTTTTTCCCTCAAACTGAGTCTTTACCACGACAAGCTTGACAAATGCCACTTATACAGACCTCACCAATCGTGTCGTTTTACAATACCTAACTCTCACTATGTCAAGTGCTAACCTTGATACCTTCCAGTTAAAGATATCAAGAAAATTTTTGATAAACGCGAACGTTAATGATATGAATATTTAACTTTGATCAAAGGGAAAGTTATTTTTATTATTATTTAACTTCAGTATTACTAAATGCAGTCAAGGCAAAGACCTCTGCCCACACTTAGTGAACGAGAAAATTTCGTTAGAGCTTTTTGACGTTGTTTGCTCTTTTTCTCCGAATTTCACGCGGTGGAAAATCTCACGAACATGTTCAGACTACAGTATTCAGTGTTTACTGCAAGAAGAAAGTTTAGCCAAACCTTTAGATTTATATATAGGTGTATATTATTTTAACTGAGGAGATGTGCGATATTTGTAATAAATGCACATTCTTTTACTTTAAACGAGTTGTACAATCATTCTGATTACTGCAAGAGAGCTCTTGAAAGTCATTTTTCGATGGGAGAAAAGGTTACACTGAATCAGGGTAATTTAGTGTTATCAACTGAGTTGATAAGGTATTGGCCTCTGTAAAGAGTTTCAAAGCGAACGTTTCGAGCGTTATCCCTCAGAGCGATTCACACAACTCCTCCATTTGCTCTGACTATGGGCTAACACTCGAAACATCAGCTTTGAAACTCTTTACGGTGGCTAATTTACGCTATCAACTCAGTTGATAAAACTAAATTACCGTGTTATACTCTCCTACCGACACAGAACCACAGTTTCTTTGGAAACTTACCCCCTTTATACTGAATCAGTTTTATAACACAGTAAATTTGTAAAGCTTACATAGTGAACGAACACAAATGCTAGTCCCCAGACTCTGCCCTTTGTTATCATCTGCTGGAAGGCTGGGATAAGGGCGAGTCTCTCAGTGACGTCTTGGCTCAAGGGCTTAAGCGACTAGCGACGGGACTGATGAAGTGTTCGCAAGGAAGTGAGAATCAGAGTCTTGTAATTATTTGACATTTATCGCGCCAATTTATCAAATCTTGTCCGCGCATACGGGTCGCAGCTTTGTTTTGACCAGAAGTCCTTGAAAACAAAACACATACATGAGCCGATAATTATTACCTCCTGTAAAGTATTTAACGTTTATATTCGCAGCCTATAATGAAGAGTCATACACAATTACGACCGCAGCATCGAAAATGATGACTGAAAAAGAAATTTATAAATTTCGCAATTTTTTAGATTAATTTAATTAATGTGTCGGTGTTAGAGCTCTTTTTTGCTGACTGTAAAAAGCCGGGCATCGATTCTAAAACTGAAAATGAAAATGCAAGCCATGTTTAGTTTCTCCACGTAGTTAATTGGAGTTCCCATCTAATTTGTTATGCGCGTGTTCATCTATAGTTTTTGTCATTGTCACATTATGGTTAAAGCGTTAATGCTTCTAATGTCAGGATTTTCGTAAGGTCCCTGAAAGTGAAGTGACAAAATAAAAGGAATGTCTGTGCTTTTTCTTTTTCAAAAAGCCAGGGTCGAAAATATACAAAGAAACACGTGAGTAGAGATTATTTTTAAAGCTCTAATGTTATCTTGTTGCCACACGAGTGAGGCATCGCTTTTAACAACAATTTCCTACCAAAAAAAAAAATTGATTACATGTTCTCCATTTTACTCTCTGCTCTTTTATTGCATTAAATAGAAATCACTTATCAAGGTAAATAAGTACTCATGAAAGATAAAAATAGAAGTTGCATTAGTAAATATGAAAAGTCAGAAGATTAAAGGCGGCTGCAATCTACCCAGATCCATCTAATTAAGGTCAAGTTATGTGCACAAGAAACTTTCTTCTTGGAAACCTCTTCCTATCGATTTTATTCGTCTTTATGTTTAATTTAGCATTCACGAGAAGTTCTGGAGAATCTGAAAGCAGTAATTGATTCTAAAGCGATGATTTGTCTTATGTAAAACAACACACCGCTAAGGTGAAAGGTCTGCAGCTGTATTCACGGTTTTACTTTATGATCGCACGATACTTGAAAAACAAAACAAAACAAAAACAGAAAGAAAAAAAAAACATACACAAAATTGTTTCCGGAATCCTGATTGGGTTGAAGAGAGCCTCTAGCATAGTAACCCTAAGCTGATTGGTTGCTTCCTGTCTTCATTGTTTTTTTTTTTCCCTCTCTTTAAGCTGAGTAGGATTTAAGACATTGCGAGCTTTTCTCAAGCGCGTACTACAGAGTTTAAATTCTCCGATGAAATTTCTGTAAAAAGAATGCAAAACATTCTTAATTCTTAAAATGGCTCCTTTTCTCTGGGGAAGGTTCATGCCAGATTAAAAGAGAAGAGGAACTTGTGCATTTGAACACAAGGTCGCTGCAACTTCAGCGTAAACCATCTTGGAGACCGAAAAACCCTGTCCACTTCAAACAAGCGCTCACTCCGGCGACAATATGTAACCAGTTAATTCATCTCGATGCCTCATCTCAATGGCAAATTATTTTCTTCAATGAGGCACAAACATATTCATCTTTGATTAGCAGTTGCAAGATGCAGTCATTTTTTTCTTCCGCAGTGTAACCAAGTAACGAATTTAATTCGCAGTGTGACAGCAGCCGATTATTTCAAAACAGAGAAACAGAGTGCATTGAACATTCAGTTGCTGATTTTTTTTTAATTGTTTATTATTTCCTTCTTTGGTTTGAAACAACCGCAATTTACAGTAGCTCGATCCCCAAGAACAAAGACGATTAATTATGTTTGCAAGAATTTTGTTCATATTTTATTCAACTGCCCACATTAGTCGAATTAGGATTAAATGCGTATGCTATTTTAGAACATTAGGTTCTGGAAACAACTTGAAAACTTATTTGGAACTCAGACAGTAAACTGAATTGTCTGAGATTTCACAGGAAATCGCCTTGAAATATAGACTACATGTTGATGCATTTACACAGAATTGACATTTTTAAGCCAAGAACATGTCACTAAATTTGACCAGGGTAAACACTTGTCTGAAGCAAGATCGCACAACGAGAAAACGTTGGCCGGATTTGTACATGTCACCGACCTGATACAATCAACAGATTAATTTGTACACTCAAAAATGCGCGTAAAAACAAATTGATTTTCTCGTATAATTAATGTTTCACTGATGATTGCTATGCCTTATATATATAGGCGGTAAATTTTATTCGCTACTGATTTCATCAAAAAATAAAATTCATTCCCAGCTGTTTGAGTCCGGTTTGAAAAATCGAAACCGGAATTATGAATTAATGTGCGCCTGAAAGGCCTGTGCAAGATTAAAGCGATATTATTCAAAGACTGATCATTAAAATGTCAATCTTACTATCCGTACTCAGGAAATTTTCAAGAAGTAATCTATGAACTTCTCATAAATCTCTAAAGATGTTTCGCTATAGAACCTAACAGTAATTCACATATTTACAAGCAGAGTTTTCTCGGTAATAGCCGGGGATTATCACATTTCCTTTTTCACAATTATGCAAAACATTTAGAAGCTTTCCCGCATACGCGAACAGGCAAGCTTTTAATCTTTCCATTTCACTGGATTTAACTATTTTGAAATAGAAAATCGAGGAGGCATATTAACATAAGAATAGGATATGATAAATTTTATAGTTTGCTGTTGAAACACAATTTAAAATAGATAAAGAAAAAAGCATGTAATCTAGGAATATAAATTTCTTTCTCGCCCTTATTTTAATGGCATTACTGATTTCCTATCGCTGTTTTTTGCTTAATTCTAATCTTGAGATTTACTGAAGATGTTAGGTTCATTTAGACCAAATGGATTTTTCGATTGCATCTTCATCAGTCTTTCACGGTTTCTCAACTGATTTCTGTGGATGAATTTCTCGTAGAAACATAGTTATCAGTTAGCGTCCTCAAATAATCGACAATGTCTTTGGGTTCTTCTTCAACCGATCTTTTTTTGACACACTTGCGCAGAATAAGAAAAACCTCTTTTCGCAGCTTTCGGTTGAGCAAAACATACACAAGGGAATCTAGTAATGGCCCTAAAAATACCATAAAATACACAGTCGTTTCCGTACCGGCGGAAAAATATCCTTCACTAGTGAAGCTGGTGACGATGTTGAAAATCGCCAGCGGACCTCTCGTCAGCAAAAAAGACCCAATGATTAGTGCCAAGGTAACATTCGCTTTCAAACTTTGAAAACTGTTTTTTGTTTGTGCTACCGAAGTGAATTCGCCATTCTGTAAAACCTGGATTTGTATATTTCCTGGTCGAACTTGACGAGCGCTATTGCGCGCGGTTTGAAAGCTCTTGAAATACATTATACACATTGTGAAGAACGTGAGAAGGAAACTCTCCATGGCGATAAAATAATAGTAAATAGAGTACGAGCCTTTAAGATCCAAACGGAATCTGCAGCCATTTATCGAAGGAACAAATTTGTACTTGAGTCCATCGATGCCGAAAAGAGGAAAAGCTGCCCAAAACGCAGCGCGAAACCAGTTGAATATCGAAGTGAAGAGGACATGTGTCGATGTAACTCTGGCAGTATGGCTCATCGGGTTAGCCAGTGAAAAATATCTGTCCACTGCAATAACAGAAATGAATGTGGCAGAGGAAATGGAGAGAAAAATAGTAAAAAATCCCTGAAATTGGCAAAATCCTTCACCAAACTGCCATGACTGTTGCGAGAGGGTGACTATCGAAAATGGAATCACTAAGACCGTCATCAAAAACTGTGTCAATGACAGACCTACGAGAAATAAATTACTGACTGTACGCATACATGTTCTTGGCAGTACAAGGCATAGGATAGCGGTGTTGGTTAGGGCAGCGAATACGTCCAGAACTGACAGCAAAACCACTGCTACAATACTCATATTTTGAACTTCAACCACTGTCTCGATGTTGTTTTTTTTTCTTCTTTCCTTCGTAAATGTTCTCTATCTCGTACGTTTCACCTCGTATTTTTGTCGCTTTTTTACGTCATACGCAGACATCCATCACAATCTGCGAGTGGAGTTGATTACTTTGTCCTCAAACATTCTGAAAAATTCAATCAAATGCACAGCTTGAGCCCTAGTTGCCTTGAACGTGCCCTACATGCTCTTTACACTGAAACCGGTACGTGAAGAGTTGTTCAGCGATCACCTTCTTTCCCTATGTCTGATAATTTTATTTGTTTGCTCATTTCCCTTTAAGCTGAATACAGTCTGCGCATGCGGGTCAATTTTTTTCCAGCGCTATATACGCATTTTATGTTTCACGAAAATGTAAATTAAAATATCGCATTTGCAAAGTTTCTGAGAATTCAATTTCGTGCAATAGTGTTCTATTTGCGTTCATGTCTTGCAAATAAACCTAAACGCCATTTATTTGCTTTGAAAGAGATCCCAAATAACTCAGGTTAGTCCTGTCGATATCCCGTTTAAACAAGACACAGTTTACGGAGATTATTAATGAATGGAACTTCAATTTCCGGAAGAAGGAAAAAAAGGTGAATTATCAGAATGCAGTGTAGGTTTAGTGCGCAAGGAGAATCTAAAGAAAAGGCTAAGTTTCCTCCAGTTTTCATTAAATTTTATGATGTTATAATTATCTGTCTCAACATCACCTTCTATCCGGAAAAGTCGAAAGGCCTAAATTATCGAGTCAATCTTTTTTTTTTCACGGATTTTGGTTTAAATAGAGAAGGGTATCCCTTATCATAAAAGTTTTCGATATCAAAAAAATAACGCATATTAGCAGACATTGATCAATGCGCATTCTAAATTTCCGTCTGAGTCACTCTGCTTGTGAAAAAAGAAATAAGATAATTTCAAGGTATGACGTGTTTCCCTTCGCACCATCGACAGATAAGAAACAAAACAGACGTTTACTGCGTTCGCTGTGTACTTTATCCATTACATGAAAAACCAACAATTTCCTCTTGTGTAAAGTTTATAAGTAGCTTTCAACTTTGTTCGAGCATTCCGATTTTAAAATTCAAAGAGAAAGTATTTTGGCGCACAATTTTGCGACAAACAGCAGACTAAATTTCATCATTTAAAATGTTTGATTACGGCTCTGTTTGAGATTTTAAATTAAGTACAAGGATGAAAAAAGTCAAAGTAAAAGCAATTTATACTTACTTGAAGTTTCTGGTTAGAATGAAAGTAATTGTAATCCGGCGACGAGTGATCCGCACGTCGTAAGCTGTTCGACTTTAAGTAGAAAATGAAATGCTGCAAGAAGTTTCTTTCATTGGCACTTAATATATTATATGTCCACCCAGGTGATTTTTTGTTTTGTATCTGAGGAAAAAAGTAACACCGCTATGAAGATTGCAATACCATCTGCTGTGTTCCTAAAATTTGACGAGATATATGTCCAAAGTTGTCAAAAAACAAGTGAATATTGACACCTTTAATTTTCACGATTTTTACGAACTGAGTTCAAGTTAATGAGATTCTTAGAATTGAATATTCGATTTCCGAAATGTAACTTTTGATCCGAAAATAAAAGCAAAATCGAAATTTTGGTAACTGTGCAAAAGAAAGTGATTCAAGCACGTTCTTTCTTTACAGAGAACCAGAGTTTTTATTTTTTTTTAACCCACGTAAACTGGTTATGACCAAATATCACCTTAAAAATACCGCTCGTGAGACAATTTTATTAGGTTTTTCGGTATTATTTTGGTTGAACATTTAGCCCCCGTAATGAAAAATATTTTCTTTAAGAAAGCTATAAATAGAAATCAGTTAAGATTCATTTCCTTTGTCAATTTGAAATTCGAAAAACAGAAAAGGTAATTTTTTATCTTGGGTGGAGTTAAAACAACCAAAATTGCGATTCGCTCTTAGATGTAATAGTTTTGTTCTGTGGATGATCGAAAGCCTTTCTATGAAACAACTTAATTGTAATGGTATCTAAGAACTAAAGTTATGTCCTATCAAATAAAGATCATGCAAGTTAAAAATTACCCGTATACGGGTGCACTGAATACAACAAAAAAAATTAGGCCTCACAGGGTATATACGGCAATTCTGGGCCATTTTTTCATCCTGACAATAAACTTCTCGATTAAATATAAAATTTACCTTAGTACTTTTTCTTCATGAGTGAGCAATTACAGCTTAGCGCAATGATCATCTCTCGGTGCAATTGCCGATCATTAGTAAGGTAGTATGTAATTGCAATCGACCCGCGTATGAAAATTTAGGGAGAAGATACTCGAAGTTTTTTTTCCGTTAATAGTGTAGGCCTAAATAGCATCGGTTGCTCACGGTTATATACATTTACAAGCTGTTTTTTATGTACTTAGCCCATTTCTTCGCAGCAAGGTTTTCAATCAGAAACTCACCCCCCACGGCGATTTAATTTACTGCTCGCCCCTTGCGAAATCCTATTTTAAACAGAAGTCATTGATAGTGTAATTCAGTTCCAAGTACATAATCGAACACAAAGTAGATGTGACAGGAGAGTGTGTGATTAAAATAACACTGAATTTATTTTAGGACGTAAAGCTGGTGAAAAGTGCACATTTTGAGACCACAAGCAGTAGTTTATGGCGACTTTACTCTAGCTTCAGAATACTGAGCCAATGATAAACCACTTTGACAAAAAGCTGTGATTAACTATGGTTGGAAATGGAGAAGGACTGAAGAAAATAAATCATCCCATATTTTTGAGAAACTTTACATGTAGACAATCTCATTTGTATACAGTCCAATTTTTTATTTTCTGAAATCATGCTAGGGATTGATTGCAAGCTACGAAAAATAAAACTTTTTCAACAAAACGAAGTGGAACATGTGCTGCTGAATAGAAACATTTGTAGGATTTTCTCAGCAGCTGTTTGTCTATTTTGTGTTGAAAAAGTCTTAGTCATGTTATCTCGGGGCATATGTCGTAACGTCTGCTGGCCGTAAGGCAAGAATGTTCTGAGCTGCAAACATCAAACTTACATCATGTGGAAAAAACACGGAAAGGGGGGTGACCACTTGTGTACAGCTGAGTCCAGCAAAAAAAAAAAAAAACCACAAAAACAAACTGGATGGTCAAAACAGTAAAAGTTATAAATTGAAAATGAGAACAAAAACATTTCTCAATAATAATACTTACCCTTCCTCGTTTGCGTTCTCGACCTGTTCATGCCCCTTTCCAAACAACGTTCTTCTTCAAAATTCTGTTTCTGTTCAGAAACGTTTAGCCATTGCAGGAATTACGTTCTGTTTCAAAAAAAGGAATTCCTGCTACTATGCTTCAAAACCACATTTTCTTTAATTTCAAGCTCCTTTACCTAAGGAAACTCTTTACTACAACATTTTACAAAAAAGTGCGGTTCTAAACGTTTGATGTAAAAGTTCTCAGTTCTTAGTTCTCCTAAATAGGTCAAATAACCCGTTTCAAGATTTTCAAATTAGTTTTCAAATAACCCAGTTTCAAGCAGAAGACAGCGTATCATATGCAATTTTGCATAGAAAAAATAAATAAGCAAGAACTGATGTTACCGGATCATAACACGTAAAGAAGTAATTTGTATCAATATTTCTTTTCACAGTTTCCGGACAACTTCAATAATGCGCCATCAGTACCCTATAGACTAAATAAGGCGTTAAAAATTATCAATTCATTGCCACTTACTGGCTTCTGCAGAGAACCAACAGAACTTGTATCAGATAAAGGAAAAGAAAAAAAAAACTCCTAGGGATGCAGTGCCTAAACTTGCCGGAAATCCTGAGTCAGAGTTAGGTTCCAGCTCATCATTATTTCAATTTACAGAAACACTTTCTAATCTTCTTAATAAAGAATGGAAATGCATCAAAACACTCCACCGAAAGTTTGTTTTCAATTTCATCCGGCCGGTTATGAGCATTAAATTTTCAGATACTATCCAATACTTTCTTTCGTTACTGCTACTTGTTTCGGGCATGTTAAATAACCTCCTGTGGTTGTTGGATATTGAAATATTGAATTATATTGAAAATATTGAAACCTCTCCACGCTTATTACTAAAAACCAACGCTACTTCATATCTCCTTTCCTGTTTTGAACGCAAAAGTGACAAAAGTTGAACAGTTAGGCCTAAATTACAACAGATATTACACTCAATGCAAGTATGTCGCACTTTAAAAGGACAGGGCAGGCGAGTGTAAACTTTAGAGCCCTTTCCACCAACCTTTTGGGAAAAAAGAGACACAGATATTTGCTTTAAGAAAGCAGGGGGCTCCCCATAACTTTCTAGGAACAAGGAAATATAGATTTGGGGGCGAATTTGCTACTAACATTGTGTTTTCTTCAAAGAAATACTCCTTTCTTTCCCTTGGACAATAAACCATTCATCTATGTTCTATGATTAGGTATGTTCCATGCCAAAAATGCGTTCTTTCCAGAAATCAGTCGCTCTCCAAAATGTACTGATTTTGATTGAAAAACGCCGGTACATCGATCGGCTACGATGATCGATTCGCATCTGAATATAGTTTTCCCTCCAAAAATAACGTGTTCTATTCTGAAAATACTTTTCAGTCCTCTTCATAGATATCTTTAAAAACCTGTAAGTAGCTTTTAAAAAAAGCACCATTTGACTCAAAATACTGTATCAGAGGAGTAACGAGTTGCTACTTACGTGTAATTTCTTGTGTGATTTTTGAAACTTGCATTCTATTCTCATGAACGAGTGTCTGGGTAATACTTTTCAACACTTCCCTCTTTCCTGAGGATCTCGCATCAGTTGTTAGCAACGACTGAAGAGATTCCTATCTACAAAAAATGTCAGAAAACAAGGTGAACAGTCTCCTTGATGATATTGTTGCCATGCTTAGAAATGACATCAGCATTTTGCTGTAGCTAACATCCGAATTAAGCATGCTTAGCAGTCTGAGGTAAAATTAGTGAGTGATGACGCATCGTCTCTTTTTCAATTATTATTTCCCCTTTTTGTCTGGATCTGGTTTTAAAATATCTCGCTCACCACGTCGAAAAGTCCTTCATCTGTGTCGTCGTTCTTCGCTCAAAAACGACAAGCCTTACTGACGTAAACCAATTAGAGTTTTCAATTCAGTGACAACATGGATATAGAGCCCCTGGAAACCTTGAATGGTGCTAAAACAATTTCACCAACTTTCAAGAAACTCATAGTCATATATTAAAGTTACCCCACTGCCGTCTCATTCATTTTGCAGCATAACCAGCATAACGACTTTGAAGTCTAATTCACAGACGTCCCATGAGTTCCCAAGACGCGCGGGATATCCCTGGGTGGGGTTACTCAGCGTAAGAACTACTTCGAGTCTTGCCCAGGTCTCCCACGTTCGAATGAAATCAATCTCAGGGGGCTTTCGTTCGGAAGATTTTTTTTATTCGTGGATTATTTGCAGGAGATGGACATTTTGAATATATCTGTGTAACATCTGACGAGCCAAGGAGACTTGGAGTCATGAGATATGAAGTCACGTGTCTCAAACGTTCAACATTTCTGAACGTAGAAGAGTTTCAGAGGTCAGCGGTTACTTTTAAGAGCCCAGCCAGCCATTAAGCTCAATAATTGAGAGAGAACTTGTCCTTTCGTTCAGCCTTCTTTGAATGAGGAAGGGCCCTCTATCGCCCCGCACAGCAGGAAGAAGAGAAAGCCTGGTAACGAGTTTTTTTTATAGACGATACCTTAAAGCGTTTATCGGTAAAAGAATGATCGTCCAAACTTCCTCTCGGCGCGAATAAAGGGCCCCATCACAGTTATTATTCTCTTTGACATCATCCACTTTACATCAAACGCGGTCAAATATGGTGATTCTAATACGACGAGGAAGTGGCTAGAAGGAACCGAAAGAATCATCGCAAAATTTACAATATAGCAACAACTTTTTTGCATTTCGTAACACACAGGATTTCTTTGAGTAAGAACAAACAGTGCTAAGTAAAAAGCAACACACACGTCATAGATTTTTTCACACTACGTTTTATTATCATCTGAGATATAGGAATAAATTGATGAAAACAATCCAAATAAAATTGGCTTTTATAAACCTTTGTTGCAATAGTTTTTGGCCGTAGTGGGACTTTCGTGATCCATACTTAATTCTCTTCAGTTCAAGTAATATCTCAAGCAAATAATTTGTCATGTCAAAATGCGCATGGAAATGATGGCTTGATTCAAATACAAATAATAATGAACCAAAACGTAACAAATTAAAATGCTGACTGTCTGGATAATTTGCACTCTATCATGAATTCAAAGATTTCTGGATTCCACTGACGATTTGTAATAATTTTATCATTGTATAATTAT